ACTGCAAGGAGATCCAACCAGTCCATCCTACAGGAAATCAGCCCTGAATATTCATTGGAAGGACTGATGCTGAAGCTGAAACTCCAATCCTTTGGCCACCTGATGCGAAGAACCGACTCACTGGAAAAGACCCTGATGCTGGGAAAGATTGAAGGTGGGACAAGCTCTGGGAGTTGGTGATAGACAGGGAAGCCTGGTGTGCTGCAGTCCATGGGGCTGCAAAGAGTTGGACACGACTGAGCGACTAAACTGACTAACTGAGCAATGAGGAAAGACAAACTTGAGCAGAGTTAAAGTAGGAAATTTATGCCTGCCAGTTGTTTAGACCAAATTTAGACCAAACTGATACATGTTCATGAAAGGAACCATTTTTTGAAGCTGGCTACTTAGAAAATTGAATCAGTGCACTTCTGCTCGACTGTTTTTAAACTATCATGTGGGTGCATATATAGTATTAAGAGAAGGCAACTATGAATGAATCATCAGAGCTAATTCTGCAGCGGAAAGTCATTGCCAGAGGCCATATTTCAACAATCATGTTTGTGTAATGAATGGATTAACTAAGATGATTAATATCAAATATTAAAAAATATATATAAAATATTCAGTTTGAGTTTATAGATTTTTATGTCACTACTTGACTTTCAAAGAGTGGTCACATTGGCTGTGATATTTAAATTCCATTTCATCATATGGGTCTTTCAATAAGGTCAGAAGGAAGGGATGGTGCAGGGGAGGGAAGCTTATTATTTGGAGGAAATGAGACGTGTTAAGAAAGTCAGTGTTCCTGAGGATGATGTTTCCCCCAATCCCCATGTGCTATGCGCCACCTTCGTCACCTCACTCTCCCTGACCTTTCTTTGGTATCCAGTGAGCTTGTTCACCACCACCCGCCCTGGTGATCTCTCCTCTCCTGCCTGACTTGACTCTGTTCTCTCACACCTCTTCTTACACATTCATAACTGTTCATTTTCTGTGTTCTCAGAAAGCAGCATTGATTTATTTTTCATGTTACTGTGGAAATCCATTATTGTGGGAGTGAACTCTGCTAGTACATTTTCTGATGTCATCTCCAGAATAAACTCTATACCATATGAATTTGTGTGTGTGTGTGTGTGTGTGTGTGTGTGTGTGTCCATATCTCTGTGTGTTGTATGCTAATCTAAGTATTTACTTAGGAATGTGTTCAACCCAGTTCTTAAATGAGAGTTGCCCATGCTTTTCATTTCTTCATAATGTCCTGTTCAGCCTCAGTATCAAGTTTATCAAGATCATTATAGCCTCTAAACTGCAGAGAGAAGAGAAGCTTTATCTCTTTGTTTAATCTCTGAAATAATTTGTATGAAATTGGTCTTATAGGTTCCTTAAGCAGTTGGCAACATTTGCTTGTAAGACCAAGCCTGAGACTCTTTTTAACATACTGCACTTTGGAGTTTATTATTTGGGTGTTTGAAACTGTAATCACAAGAGAGTGTAAAGAAAGTGTGTTTTAAAATATTTTTTTAAATGCAAGGAGTATGCATATGCATATAGAGAGAGGTGAAGGGACTTGGCAACACTGGAGATAAGGGAGGATAAAAGAGGTAAACCAGGGGAGGGATTGAAGAGGAAGAGATGGTGTTGAAATAAAGTTGGAGGGACTGGTCTTAGAAAAGGAGGATGGAACACTGTGATTCTGACTTTATAGAGGAAGTTGAAAGGGTGGGTATTGATGCAGGCATTTCTTCAGCTGGAGAGATGGACTGGTGTAGGAACTTCCCATCAAGGCCCTCATGGCAACCAGTAGAGTAGAAGGCCACGTGTTATGCAAATTCAAGATATTCCAACCTTATGGAAGAACACACAGGGAAATCAGAAAAGAAGGGAATATGTGTATTACCCAAGTTTGATCCAGTGTTAACCATAAAAATATATAGTTTTAATGGGTAAGTTCATTAGACATTTAAATAAGGAGAGTTGAACAATATTGAGAGAATTCTATGATGTGAACTCATTTTCCCCTCTTGACGTGGTCCTTTTTATTTACTTGAGGTTACTTTAGGAAGTAATGTAAGCACTTTCCTGTTGTTCAGCGTAGGTACCAAAGCCTGGACTATGTCTCTTCATCTTGTTCTGTTGGCTACTGTCTTCCGATTCTTCTCAGTGAGAAGAAAGATGAATGTGTGGTAGACCAGTTGACCAATTTTCTTCCCCCATCATTTTACAGCCTTCTCTCCATTTATGTTGCTCATGTTTCCATTCCTGGGACAGAAGGGTCAGCTCTTGGGCTTCTGCTCTCCCATCACACTATCTAGTCACCCTCAGTGCCTTGGATGTGGCATGTATGCCCAGCTTTGGCAGCTGTGAGTTTGGGAGGATGAAGCCTTAGACCTGCTCTCAGGACTGTAGTCCTGGCAGGACTCCCTGGTCCTGGGTTTTCTATCTGTAGGATGAGCCTCTTGAACTAAAACAACTGTTTGGACACTTCTAGGTCTTAGAGATTCCTAGCAATGATTGACTGTGAAGTCAGTGTCACTGGAAATCTTTCATAAGTGACATTCTACATGGTTGTCCCTGAAGTCATTAGCTTTCTCTAAAACCAGTCTTACCCCCGACATCTATGTCTCACTCATCGTACTTTCCTCTTCATTGAGTCTCAGAACGGTTTTTCTTTTCTTTAACTCATTCCCTTTGACCTCTTCAATCAGGTATCTGGCCAACCAGACTCTTGCATCACATCCTCGTTGCATTTTCATAGCCACTACCTAAATTGTATCATTTTTAGTTTGTAAAGCTAATATTCTTGCCTCCATTCAGTCTACTTTTCTGCCTTTTGTATTCCTAAGATACTTGCTTTATGTGTCAAGTGCTTGCTTGTAAACTTCTCAGAGCCTTGCTATCACAGATGAGGTCAAGTCTAGACTTTTTAACCTGTAAGTGAATTTTAACCTGTAAGTGAGCTTTTTACAGTTATAGTTCAGTGTACCTTTTCCATAGTTTCTTGAGTTGCCATTTCGTTTCCCTTTCTCTCTTCTCTTTTTTCTCTTTCCTTTCAGTTTAATTCTCTTGAATTCACTTGCTTATTCTTACTCTTTCATTCCACACATTCAGTATCACTCATCACATTCAAGTTATTGTACCTTAGTGTTGCAGGCACCCCAGTGAGCAATAGGGACCCAAGAGCCTTAGGAATCCGTCTCCTGCAAATAGAGAAACAGAACAGGGATCCATAGAAGTGAAGATGAGCAAGACCAATTATGGCCACAGGGGGCATCAGATTTCCCATGTGGCACTCTTGCTTCCTCTAGGACACACCCGTTCTGTCAATTCCTAGTCAGATCTTTCTTTTCCTGCTTCCTAAGGCCCCAAACATCTCTCCCTCCTGTGTATGAATATTTCCTGTAATCCTGCAAATACCTGTAAAGATCTTGTATCCATGAAATTCTCCAGGCTAGAATACTGGAGCGGATTACCATTTCCTCCTCCAGGAGATCTTCCCAACCCAGGGATAGAACCTGGGTCTCCCACATTGCAGACAGGTTGTTTACCATGTGAGCCAGCAGGGAAGCCCTGTATCTATAGATACTGTGTTTAAAGAAGATATTAGTGCTGGTTCCCTAACTAAATTAAAAACTCCTAAAGCAGACTGTTTATTGACAGCTTTTTATAGCTCTAGAACCTTGTACCTATTTTGCTGCAAATAAGTATTTTTAAAAAATTGACTTGCCTATAAAATGAAAAACTTTGTATAAAATACTAAGAAGAATCAAGATACAGTATATATTAAAATTTCAAAAACTAAATACAGATTTCTGTATAACTCAACCTTGGTTTGCTTTAAGTAGTCTAGAACTTTCAGTTCATTTCATTCCCCTCCTACCACCCCCTGCCAATAACTGATATTAGAGAAATGATACATTTGCTTCACAAAACAATCACTTGAAAATAATCTACTTCATTCATGTCAACAAAGGCCTTTCTACAGGACATGTCTTAGGACAGGGGCATATTTCCATATTAGATCTGTTTTTAGCATCTGTTTTTGTGGAATGAGATTATTTCTGTGCTGCACAGTTTTTTCCTCAAACCAACAGCTGTGTTGATCTGCCCGTTTTCATGGCCCTGTTTCATCACAGTGATGCCACTCAGAATATTAAACCCAAGGTAAAAGGCAATCAGCTTGAGTGGTTAATTGTCAAGGATAATGGTCGGGTTCCACACAACTGGCAGGCAGCTCCCTGAGCCTTTTTTGGTGAAAGAAACCAGCTAATGAAAGTTGCAAAAACGGCTCATAAAGCTGAGTTCTCGCCCTTTTCCAGTACTGTCATGTTATAATAATTGGACTCTAGGCTGGAGGTCGCTTCATAGGAGTTAACAGAGCTTGTAAAAAAATAAAATGAAAACAGTCTCTAAAGAGTGGCTGTTTTCTGATTTTCCATAGGAAACAATGTAAATAAGGTCAGGAGTTACTGTGGGTTTCTCATCCAGAAAGGACTGAATGTGTTTAACTAGTCTAATCACGGGGCCTACACAGAAACTCACAGGGAAATGGAATGTCCACGATGGAAGAAGGCAAATGGTGCTCCTGTGTTTGCCGTTGTTCCAGATGGGGACTGTTGTCATTTCTCCACTTCTGTGGCCCCTGTGCACCAAGCTGCACAGGGAATGGTCTTGTTTGCATTCGGTATTCCTCTGGTGAGACCTGTGAAAGTTGTGTTATTGTCTGCCCAGCCCAGAGCCAACAGGAACACGCACATCTGGCTTGTAAATCACAGCCCAGCGTTGGCGTCTTGCCCCCTTTTTATTGGGTGGCTGCCCTCTGTGTTTTACATGCTCTCAGTGTGGATTTTGTGACATCCTGACGGAAACCTCCAGTGACCCCCAAGCCATCCATCGGGGGACCTTCAAATCTTCTCTGAAATGTAATGTTTGCTACCTCATGTGTATTTTCTGTGGGTCCCCGGAGGGGGTAAAAAAATCATTCATTTTTATGTTTTTATTCATTTATTTTTCCTGTTTAGAAATTGGCCCCTGGTTGCAGGAGTTCAGAGCGAAGAATGCTGTGGATTTCTCGCAGTTAACATTTGATCCAGGACAGAAAGAACTTGTTGTAGGAGCAAGGTGAGAGATCTGACGTTTTGCCCTTGCAGATATTTTCAACTTCATTTTACGTCTCTGCAGTTACACATGAGCATCCCTGCCGGAGTTGATGAGTACTAAGTAATATTTCATCTCAGAATGAAGTTCTGAGTGTAAGAGTGTCATGAACATGCTACTTCTAATAGGAGGACTGCTGCTCTTTATACCCATGTGCTGGGAGCTGCTCTAACATGAATTAATTTAGTTCTTTTTCCTCCTATGACACCTGAGAGGTAGGTATTGTCACCATCCTGTGTTAGAGATGAGGAAATTGAGGCAGAAGTTGGATAAATATGTTACCCCGGGGACACATTTATTATGTCTAATAACAAATGGTCCCAGACTTCAGACCCAGACAGTCTGCTCCAAACAGCATGTTCTTATTTCTCAATTCAGCACAGTTCTTGAGAACAAGAGACCTTGATGTCCACTCCCACATTCATTGCTATCTTTTTTTGTGACCTCTGTTCTGTTGTTTGCCAGTCAATTGAGATTTCAAGGGAGTTGCTATTGTTTATTTCTCTTAAAGAGCCCAGGATTCTGTGTCCAAGTCAATGCCTGACCTTCCAGTTGGGCAGTGTGGCCACTGGAACCCAATCAGAACAGATCTAGTCTTGTGTTCCTGACATTCACCATGACTTCCTCAGAAAACGTGCATCCTCTCTGACTTCAAATCACCTATCCTGCCAGTATGTTTTGAGACTGATGGAGATAAAACATTTTCTATTAATCTCTTAGAAGAAATGATGTAATAACGTGAAGAGGTGATTTGTGGATTTGAACTCTTCTGGCAGCCAAGGAAAGTACTTTGGGCAGAGGAGTTAGTGCACATTATGTTTTTTGGCCAACTTTACTAGATGATGAAATATACCTTTCATAGCAGGAGAGGTTGTGGAATTTCTACCTGAGTGAAGCTAAATCTGGCTTAGGCTCTGAGCACCCTGGATGGACACTGAACAGCTTCTAGAATCACTACATTTCCTCTCAGATGTTAAGAAGACCTTGTGCATCCACTTAACACTTGAAGACTCGAGATGTGTGGTCGTCGCTTAAATGAACAGACAGAGCTGGCTTAGTTCCTGGCACTTAGCATGTCACTGGCATGCCTTTCAGTGTTTATTGGGTGGACAGTGAGTTTGGGAGGGCTTACTTGGTGTTTTTGCTGCCCTTAGGCCACTGGGACTGCAGTGGGGGTTTCTGATGCTGACTTTCATCAGATTCCATCACTGAGAGCCTCGGCCATGCATTGCAGGCCTCCAGAATTTCTCTCTTTTGCATACCATGGCCAGAGCCATCTTTTACAAACATCCCCCTCAGTGGTTCCTCCTGGAGCACTTACAACTTGTTTCCCTTCACGTATGTTGTAGAAATACTGTTCAATCCAGGCATCCTCTGTTAGCTCTTTGGTGTGGCCTGTCGGAACCTCTGGCTTATGGTCCTGCACTCCAGAGACACACACATCATTTTCGTCCTCACATAGTCCAGACATGTGGGATTATTTATGTTGCCCACAACTGGAAAATGTTCTTTCTCTCGCCTCTGGGACTTGATGCCCTCTTGTGCTTTCCTGGAATGTTAATTTGCCACCCACCGCCATACCCGGTCATCCATTGGGTGAACTCCTGCTCCTTGCAGGGATCTGGCTCAAGGGCCCCCCTTTGGGCCTGAGCCGCCATGTTCCCTGCCCTGCCTGGTTCTGTTAGCACATCTGCCACCTGCCTTCATTGCTGCCCTTACTGTATAATTTCTTGTCATGTTTCAACCCTCCCCTTCCCCGATGTCAGATAGTGAAGTACTGCATGGTAGAGGATGTGTCTGTCTTTATTCCCCCAGGCTTTAAACTTCTTATATTGGGGTATATAGCTGGTTAGAGCTTCCCTGGTGCCTCAGACGGTAAAGCATCTGCCTGCAATATGGGAGACCCAGATTCGATCGCTGGGTCGGGAAGATCCCCTGGAGAAGCAAATGGCACCCCACTCCAGTACTCTAGCCTGGAAAATTCCATGGATGGAGGAGCCTGGCAGGCTACAGTCCATGGGGTCACAAAGAGTCAGACATGACTGAGTGAACTAATTAATTAATTCTTATAGCTGGTTAATAATGTTGTGTTAGATTCAGGTGAACAGTGAAGGCACTCAGCCATACATATACAGGTATCCATTCTCCCCCACACTCCTCTCGCATCCAGACTGGCACATGATACCGAGCAGGGCTCCCTGTGCCTCACAGAAGGTCCTTGTCAGTTATCCATTTTTTTTTTTTTTTTTGGTTATCCATTTTAAACATAGCAGTGTGCTCATGACCTGATCTGGCTTTCCTCTGTTTCTCTAAGATGTAGCATAGTTTCTCCCTGGCTAGAAGTTCGAAGATTTCTGTTGATTCATTGTCTATATTTCCAGGATTTGACTTGTATATGTGCCCCTCTGCATTTGGTAGGACACTTACGAAAAAGGGAGTGGACTTGTAGCCCACTTATTCAGATACCTACCTTTAGGCAAGGCTACAATGAGCAGCAGTCTCTAAACCCCGAAGTTAATCCTTAGGGTGAATGGACTCTCACCCTCAGCCGAGGGGAAGAAGTTCCCGGCTGGGGTAGCAGGTGCAAATATGACCCCAACCGGTGTTGCCAAGTCCTGCATCTCTCATTCCTCTCCAACTAACTTTGGAAGTAGTGTTCCTGTGAACTTGGCTCAAAAGACTCCATTGTTTCTGGAGGTCCTTCACGCTATAGGGACAGGGCCGTGTCACATACCTGCTGACACTCTGCAGGCGGTAGGCTTTTGGCCAAGAGCACAGATTCTCCTAATGGGGATGTGAGAAGCCACTGAAAAACTATTTGGAAGAGACATCACCATCATTCTGTCCTGGATTTGGACAACACCTGAGAATTGTTCCCGGGGAACTCTTGTTCCTGACAGTCTCCATCCCAGTATGAGTGGAGTGATCGATCCCATTATTCCTTGAGCTCTCCATGCGAGCCTGCCTGAAGGTTTCTTATTCAGTGTCCTTGAAAATCTCCATTCTGACCTCCCTGGAGGTCTCCAGTCCAGAGTTTCTCAAGATCTCCATCCATCTCCCCTTAACCCAGTCCCAAACCAGACATGAGAGGGATTGGCCTACCCACTGAGTCACCCTGGCATGTACTATGGCATAATGACCAGGAGCAATAGGATTGCCAGACTTAGCACATAAAAGTCTGGCATGCGCAGTTGAACTTGAATTTCAGATGAGCAACCCTAGGAGCAGGGGCTGTATTTTCTATTCTAGAGCAGGACATAATGCATCGTGATCACTCGATAAAGAAAGAAGTAAGTAGACTTGCTTAACTGTGTGACCTTGAGCCCATTCGAGAGCCTAATTTTCTTATCTTTAAAATTGATATATTTATTTCTATCCCTTTCAGCTGTTGTGAAGATTAGATGAAATAATCCAGGAAAAGTGATTGTCACAGAAACAGGCATCCTGTAAGCCCACAGTGGTGGGGAAGCTGTGTGGGTAGATGTGGGCTTTGGCATATGTGTGCATTTGTGTTTCGGGCAGATATCACTGCTGTGGAGAAGAGCAATTTTACCTAAGATACATGGTGGGATTAGGCTCAGAAAGTTTAAGTGGGAATGTGAGCCAGTTATAAAACTTTAAAAATAACCCAGCCCGCAGATTCCTGTTTGGGAGGGCTTGACCTAGCAAAAATGGTTTAGGTAGTAGGTGTATATTTCAGAAATCTTTAGTTGTTTAAATATGTGAGTGGTGAAAAAGTACAATGATAGTCTTTATTTTTTCATAACTAATACTAGGCATTGTAAGGCCATTGCTGGTTTATTGGGTGGTTATTATTATTAATTATTATTATTGGGTGGTTTCACTTTATACCAGTGGTACTTTATGTTCCTGAAACTGAATTCAGTTAAACATTCTTTGCATTCCTTGCAAAAAGTTCTCTTGTTTACAAAATATAAACAAAAAGAAAACAAGCAAAATCAATTCAAAAACCACTTCTCTTTAGGTGATTTGTGGCTATGTGGTACCAGAGGTAGTTGCATCTGAATTCAGGCAGTTTCTGGGAGGATGCTTAAATTTGTCATTTCCAAGATGCACATTATCTTTCCAATTATTTTAAAAGCACTGATACTCATATCCTATTTTACCCATGCCTCTTTAAAAGTTAATAATGTTTGTATTTTCAGTGATGAGACTTAGGCACTTTCATTTTAAAGAAAGTAGAAAATGCTGTAAAGCATAAAGAAAAAACACAATTTCAGAAATAATCACAGTTAACCTTTTCAGTTATTTTCCCACAGTATTTCATTTCTATTTGTTTATATGTTGGGACAATATTTTATGGATGGTTTGTATACTTTTTTGCTAAAAAAACCTACTAAAAACAGTTTCCAATTTGTGTGTGTGTGTGTGTGTATATATATATGTATATTTATTTATTTATAGGCACATACATTATATATGTACCTATAAATGTTTGTATGGGATATGCACATACAAATATATATATATATATATATATATATATCTTTATAGGTACATACATTCATATATTTATGGATACATATACATGGGCTTCCCACTGCCATTGCAGGAGACTTAAGGGATACAGGTTCAATCCCTGGGTCAGGAAGATCCCCTGGAGAAGGGCATGGCAACCCACTCCAGTGTTGCCTGGAGAATTCCATGAACAGAGAGGAGCCTGGCAGGCTACAGTCAATGGGGTCGCAAGGAGTTGGACGTAACTGAAATGACTTAGCACACATGCACATATACATACATATACGTATATATTGTTTACATGTGTGTGAAAATCTCAAATGAAAGGATAATAATTCACAAAATAATAGTATTTCACAAACTTGGTTCCAGTTTCACTGTGTATAAGATTGTAACAGTAGATCAAAGTGAGAGTAATGACATTTCCTTCTCCAAATGAATGTCTTTAGTGTTTTGGGTTCGTGTATGGATAGCTAGTGATTCTG